GAGGTTTGAGTTTACGTTCGAAAACAATTAAAGGTTTGAACTAAATGGTAAGGAGATCCTAATAGGTGTAAGGTAAGGTCGATGGCGAGGCGAAAGCATTCGACTTATAAGAGGGTATGGTTTGTACTTTAGGGTTTTGATTTTATTTGTCACGTAAGTAGAGGAAAACAATCATATTGAATTTTAATCGTGTGCACTAGCAAAGTGGGATAGTCTTCTAACCGACCAACTAGAAGTAATTGATTTGATAGGTCTCAATGTAAGGAAGCCCAGGAGTAAGCTTTGAATGTTGTGTATGAAGACCAAAAGGTTGATGGCGATGCTTTGAAACCAATCGACTTACAAGGTGTAAAATGGCTCGACGTTGGATCGAGAATTATTTCTTTTGAAAAGGTTTAATCGTTGCTAAATGCTAAAGCAAAAGCGATAAAATTATTACATTTTATGGGAATTGGGGTACATTTTTGTCGAATGGGGATGACATAACATAAAAGCAAATGCGTATGAACAAAAGCGATTAGAGTTTTGGAATTCATCAATCTTGACCCGATTTTATTTATCAAAGTCAAATGGTCAAAGTTTATTAAATCACTTAATAAGATTAATCCAAATCAATTATCAAAGTTATTCGATTAAGTCAAATGATTAAGTTAATTATGATTGATTAATAAAATTAGACGATTGAAATGTGATTAATCAATTAATTAGGTTTATCAAAATTAATTATCAAAATCATTTGAATAAATCAAATAATTAAGTTAATTAAAATTGATTAACAAAATTAAATAATTAATACCAAATTCAAGACTATTTAGTTAATGAAAAATAAACATGAAAGCGAGCACGTAAAATAAATTAAGTCGAATGTGCTCTAAAGCCGGTTTGTACATAACGACCACGTAATTGAAGTGTCGTATGTATGGGTCATAACGCATCGAAATATCCAATTAATGTGTAAAAATTTTGGTTGCATAATAGTATAAGCTTACCGAGTCCACAACTAAAATGAATTTAAAAGAAAATAAAACTTGAATTTATTTACAAAGATCTATAGTCGTGGCTTCAAAGTTCTTACAAAGAATGCATAATTGGACTGAAATCTAAACACAATATAATCTTTGACACATAGCTAACAAATATCGTTAAAAAATTACTAACAAACTCTGCCATAACAGAACAAAATACATAACGAATTAAAGTATAAGCTATGTTAGTAAAAGTTCCAATAGAAAAATGAGGCACTATCCATCTACTGTTATGTTTTCTTGATGTTGTTTGCAATGTTATCTTTACTCCAATAGAAAAATAAGGCATTATCAGCTCATAAATTTAGAAACCGGAAACGGTCCAAACAACAACACTGTGCAACACTTCTTTCTTATCAAATTAGCAATCGTTTAGCTCATAAACGAACTGAAATGCAATCGTTGTCAGAAGTTGTAGTGCTGAAACTGTTTTGTTGTTGATGTTAAGTTGTTGTCGAAGTTGTCGAAACGTTGCAATGTTGTTGAAATACAAGCTATCTCGTTGCAGATTCAAATTGAAAAGAGTAAACCAACTGATACCGACATGAATGTGTAATCGTTGAGTTATAGTTGACATCGTCGCAAGTTGCGAGCGGAATGACGAATTATTGAGCTGAAACCCAGTGGCTTGAACACACAACACAAATGATAATAGATGCTGCTGAATTGGGACATTATTGAGACTTCTACAACATTGCTACTACGACATTGTTTCTTGAAGCGCCTTGAGTCGTTGAGTTGCTTGTTGTGTTGCGGTTGTTGTCGACTGCCGTTGGATTCGTTGTTGATGGCTAAGAGTTGCACTTTGTTATTGAATTACCGCTACTGCTTGAACTTTGCTCTAACAGTTGTGTTGTTACCATTTGTAATCTTTCAGTAATATATAGTAAATTAGCTTTCCAAAAAGCGCTCTGATTTTGTCTTCTATGAACTGAAAACTGATAGGTTTTGGCTTTCATCTAAATGTAGGTATAAAACTTCAATTCTTAATATATCGAATTATTTGAATTATTATGATTTAGGGCCAATTTATTTTGCTTTTTTTTAAAAATAATTTTTATAATGTAACATAATTTTGTGAAAAAAAAATTTATAAAAAACTTTTTCATAAAAGATTCAAATGAAAATTTAGTTTGAATAGTTATTTTTAAAATGTAATTTTAGATATATCAACATTTTTTAAAAATTATAATTTCGACTATGTTTTGATCTTCAATAATGTATATTTATATTGTATGATGTCAAAATTAGTCTTACAATTTAGAAAAAACAAATATAAAAAAACTTGTAATATTTTGAAAAATGATTTTACAAAATCTATTTTTAAAAATACAAAGAAAAAATCCATTTTTTTAAAGGTAAACCAAACGGGCCTTTAATTTAATTATTGTATGTGATAGTTGAATTAATATAGATGTCAGGGGTGTGTGACCTCGAGTCAGGGATGATCACAATGGACGACAAAGTCCTCCTTAAAAAGAATTTAACACTGTTGTGTGTCTAAGACTAGGTTTGAACCTAACATCTTTGGTTAAACGGAAAGAGATCTCTTACTATCTCATTCAAGTGCTCTTGGATTTTTCTTTTTTAGTAAACAAAAATTTTCGGTAAAAATCAGATATCCTCTGCGTGCAACTGTAAAGACTAATTCCTTAAATCGGAAAGGATTAAAATAGACGACAAAATTCTCCTTAAAAAAATTTAACACTACTAAATATAAAGAGTGGGTTCAAACCCAAAACCTAAATAGATGATATTTTTTATTTCAATTATTAAATTAACTGCATTAAAAACAACAAGATTTATTGAGAATTCATAAATCACAATATATATATATATATATATATATATATATATATATATATATATATATATATATATATATATATATATATATATATATATATATATATATATATATATATATATATATATATATATATATATATATATATATATATATATATATATATATATATATATATATATATATATATATATATATATATATATATATATTATTCTGGATTGGGTCGAGGCTTAGCTCACAATCGAGCAGGTCCAAACCCTACTGAAGTTGGGCCCAATAGGACCACGCTGACGAGCAGGGACTTGTCGGGCAACATTCCTCCCCCGTCGGGCATAGGCCCTCAGCTGTCAGGCAGAACCCTTGTTGCCGGCCAACCAGTCTTTGTCCTCCCCTTCGTTGGGCAGAGCCCACTCTTTCCGGGGAGCTCCTCGTGCAACCCCTCACGTTCTCTATGTGTCCCTCACGCAGGGACACGTCATAAAGTAACTACTCACGTCTTGGAGATTCGGTCTTCCTCCTCCCAGATAGTGTGGAACAGTTACCCTAGGGCGAAGACCACATTCTGGTCTTCACGACGCCACGTCAGCCCTAGCAGTTACTAACATTGGGCCTGGCAGCCCAGCCCAGTGCTAGGTAACTGTTGGCCCTGCGTTGGGGGCTCACTATAAATATCCTCATCACTAGAGGGTCAGGTAACTTAACTTTCTCACTCTCTCTCTGTATTTGCTTCTACTCTGCTCGTTACTTACTTTGACATCGAAGTATGTTTCAGGTACACCCCCTCCTCTTCCATACCTTTGGCGGACAGCTAGCAGATCAACGACGCGTGGCAGGTCACTGATTCCCTTCTAGTCAGGTACGATCATATATATATATATATATATATATATATATATATATATATATATATATATATATATATATATATATATATATATATATATATATATATATATATATATATATATATATATATATATATATATATATATATATATATATTCAATTGACACAAAAATGTTATGACCCTAAATCCTATCTGTTTATTATTATTAACTTAAAGATTTTGATATATTTACTTAAAACTAACACATGAGTATTTTTAAGGAATTTATCTTAACTATTGAATTGTTAATAATAAAATGGTAAGATTTAGTGTCAAAATTAATATTTGACATTTTTGTGTCAAATGATTTTATATATATATATATATATATATATATATATATATATATATATATATATATATATATATATATATATATATATATATATATATATATATATATATATATATATATATATATATATATATATATATATATATATATATATATATATATATATATATATATATATATATATATATATATATATATATATATATATATATATATATATATATATATATATATATATATATATATATATATATATATATATATATATATATATATATATATATATATATATATATATATATATATATATATATATATATATATATATATATATATATCAACTAACACAACAAATAACCAACCAACACAACATATTCAAACACGCCCATATATTTATCCTAGTCAAATAAGTTTCCTTCCAGTCAAAAAAATAAGTCAAATACGTTTAAAATAATGTAATATTTTATTCTTGGAAAATGATATGATTTTAATATTTCATTCTTAGCATAGTTTATTTGATTTTTATATTAATATTTTCGTCTTCATAGTCAATTTGATTTTCTTATTTACTGGTTTGGTTGTTGAACCATTCTTCACAATTCAAACACTTTTTCTCACCCACAACATCTCCAAACCAAACCACTTAGAAATATTTCCAAAACCATTCACTATTTTCATTTTCAAAGTCTCAAACTTTGGTTTCTCAGTATAATCTATTTCTTCCAACTTTGAACAAACAAGTTCCAAACTTTGATTTCACAATTCTTCATATCTTCCCAATTCAACTTTATTTTCATCTTATTAATTATTATTTCTTTGACTCACTTTTTTTTTACTAACTTTTATAGTTTTGGTGACCCTTTTAAGCCTTCTATTGATCTATTCAAATACTCATAAAAAATTACCTTTTTTAATATAATTTTTCCATTTTAGAATTTTGAGTGTGATATTTATTTTATTTTTTCTCTTTTTAAGTTTTATGAAATGGTTGTTGAAATTTTTTCAGAAAGTTGTGGTGTTGTTTCAATGAGTCCAAGAATTTCATTCTCACATGATTTCTCTCAAAAGGGTCCAATACCAATTGAAAAACACCCTTTAAGATCAAAATCATCTAATTCAAATTCAAGCATTGATTTTGATTTTTGTGTCAATGAAAATTCAGAACATGAATCATCTTCAGCTGATGAGCTTTTTTCTCATGGTATCATTCTTCCTACACAAATCAAGAAGAAGGCAAAAAATGTTCCATTGAAGCAAACAACAATTCAACCAACAAAACCTCAACACTCTGCATTACCACCACTCTATGCAAATGGAACCAAAATCTCAAAGAAAATGATCACAAAAGATGTGAAAGATTTGAGCATTGATGAAGAGGATGAAAAGCATGGTTCAAGTAAGTCATTTTGGGGATTTAAGAGAAGTAGTAGTTGTGGAAGTGGATATGGTAGAAGTTTATGTCCTTTGCCACTTATTTCTAGAAGCCATTCAACTGGCTCTTCAAAGAAAAACTCTTCAACTTCAAGATCATCTTATTCTTTTGGTTCAAACAATCATCAAAAGGCTCAAGTTAAGAGATGCCATGGTGGAGCTTATGGTAATAATAGTGTTAGGGTTAATCCTCTTTTGAATGTTCCTTGTTCAAATCTCTTTGGTTTTGGTTCAATTTTTTCCAAAGTTAGGAGTAAGAAGAAATAACAAATTACATTTTACATAAATAATTAGGTCTTCTTATCACACCAGCGGCAATATGAGTTTTAGATATGAGTTTTAGTCGGTTGACATAGATAATTAGGTGCAATATGAGTTTTAGATATGAGTTTTAGTCGGTTGACATAGATAATTAGGTGCAATATGAGTTTTAGATATGAGTTTTAGTCGGTTGACATAGATAATTAGGTACTTCGATCACGTTAAATGTGATGAATTTTAGTCAACAATTCTGTATTGTAAATCTTCTAATAATAATTTTCCTAATTTGCAAAAAAAATAGTTGTTTTGTAATTTAAAATTGTATTAATTTACAAATTGGTGGGTTCAATTTTTTGTTATGTTTTCATGATTTGGTTTGTGATAAGAAACATTAGGTGTAGCTTGTATAAGCTAAAGTTTTGAAAGGTTAAATGTTTGCATCAAGAAGACAAGTGATAAGAAAAAGATGGTTGTGAATGGAATGGACAAATAATGATGTAATTCAAGCACATGATTTAGGGGACACAAAATGACAGGTTAATGTTGCTTTCATGGTTGTCATTTGTTATTGTTTTTTCTTCCTCTTCCTTTTGTTCACACAAATTGTAATTACATTAATTTTGTTTTCTGATTTTTTTCCCCTTTTTCTCATTTGTACTTTTTGTTTGTTTTCTTCTATTATGTGTGAACAAGAGATGAAATTAAAATATAGATGCACATGTTACTCCATTTGGTTAGGGTGGTTCATAATGAATTGAAGGTTACATAATTATTTATTATATGATATGATTGATGGCTCTTGCTATTTCAAGATGCACATGTGAAATGGATTTTTCCACTATTCCTATAATGCAATTTTGATCCCTTGAAAAAAAGTTGATATTAATATCTCCAAGGCAATCAAAGATGTATAGTGGGAGATATCCGATTTTTTGTTTTTGTATTTAGATAAATTCAATGCATACTCTGAAAAATGAAATAAACTAATTAAATTATATATATATATATATATATATATATATATATATATATATATATATATATATATATATATATATATATATATATATATAATTTCTTTTTTATGTGAAAATGATTCTTGTAAGCCAAAATCAATGGTCAAACTTACCTTGTTTGAATGTTACGTAGTCAATTGTCAAAGAAAAGAAAATTAAACTATATATACTCCGAGTTCGGGTATGCTCATAACATATTCATAGTTAAATATTTATAAAACAATTGTAGTTTTTTTTTAAAAAGTATTATAATTATAAATTTTGAGGTTTCTCTTTCCCGTTTTTAGTGGTGAAGAGTCACTCTATGCAAAGTTCTTTTCCCTCTTCAGTGGTGTAGAGTCACTCTAGAAAAAAAAATTCTCCTTTAGTGGTGAAGAGTCACCTTACACAAAGTTGTACTTATTTTTAATTTAGAAGTATAATTTCATAAATATTTAAAATACACCACATTCATTCTTAAATAAGTCATCCATTTTATTTGAGTAAAAAAAAGTCACCAATTTGATTTTGTTAAAACTAGTTCAGGTGTATATCTATGTACCGATGGAAGGGTGAATTTGTATGTGCACTTCTGTAATAATCTCTGGACACATTTTAAACTTATGGTAGTGTGTTTATTTCACAACTTAAGAAACCTTATATTTTTAGGTCATTTATACTAAGTAGACATGATTGTTATTCAATTAAAAAATCATACACCAATGTAATTCAATTAAAAAAATCATATATTAATATAATTAAAATTTATAACTAAACACTGTTGATAAATTACAAACCATAAATTATCAAAATACAAGTAAAAGTGGTCTATTGGGGATATCTGACCCCTCCCTGAATCCTTTTATGTCTCACATATTGCAATGCATTATGTGCCTCAGATAGAATGGCCTCTTTAGTGTCCCTCAAAAGAGTGTCTTTCAGAAACTCTCCTATCTTTATACCCACCCACATAATAACCATAATACCCCGGCATGCAGGTAACACATCAATGACATGATCTGCCTAGTTTGTTTCTCATCTAATATCTTCTAATGAGCTAGCTTAGGTGGACCTCTCTGAGCATTTGTTGTCATGTAAGGATGTGAACTTTTAACACTATAAGAAATATTATCATTTTTCACATGATATTCACGTCACTAATTCCAAAATCACGTCATTTAAAAAAACTTGCGACGTGGACAGAGCACGTCGGAGGAGCATCCGTGGGAGATTTTTCCCAAGTGAAATTCACGTCACAAACCACAATATTATGTGAAGGTGTTCCCACGTGAAATTTACGTCACTAATTAGTGACGTGGTTTTCACGTCGTAAAATTCCTTTCTGAACAAAAGCTGGACATGCGCAGAGTGTCAGTATGTGATATACTGATGTGATTTTCACGTCACTAATTAGTGACATGGTTTTCACGTCATAAAACTCAAACCTGCTTTAATTTTAGTGACGTGAATTTCATTTCATTTATGTATTTTAAAATAAAATGTAAAAATTAATAAATATTAATGAATAAAATAAATTAATAAATAATAAAATGTAAAAATTAAAATAATTTTTGATTAAAAAAATCAAAATTTTTAATAATTATATTATTAAAAGATATAAAGTATTTAGTCACATGATGTTCACATCACAAACATAAATAATAATAATAATAAAAAGTGTCACGTGATATTCACGTCACAAACATAAATAATAATAAAAAGTTATTCATCGTTACTGCTAAATATAACATCTTCTTCATCTTCATCTTCTTGGACAGAACAATTTGATTGTGAGGCAAAAAATTGTCGCATTTGTGCCTCCATCTCAGATTGCCTCTTCTTCATTTCCTCAATTTCAACGTTTTGAGTATTCATCATTTCCTCCATTTCGGCCTTTAGCGCCGCCTCACGTGCCTCTGTCTCTTGTCTCGCCTCAGATATAGCTAGTTGTCTCACTGTTGTCAACATTTCGGGTGTCAATTCTGGCAGACGAGATCCTCCTTTCCCATCTTCAAGTCTTTGAAATAGAGTTATATCTCTTTTTCTGTAATTGGTAGCCAAAGATCCAAGACCAAAAAAATACTCATTTTTCCCTTCCCGCCTACTGTTAAACTCCAAATATAAAGATCCACACATGGATCAAGCGGAGCATTCCCGATCGGAGTATACTCAGGATTTTCAACTAGAAATTGGGCGAGTAGGGTCTGATACAACTCTTACACGCACATAAAAATAATTAAATTAAATATAGTTTAAACAGTTTAGTTATATATTGTGAGATATTGGATCGAACTTTAGTATGGTCGAAGGGTAGCTTCTAGTTCGACAGGAATTAAGCATGAGGTCGAAGTTTGTTCGCATGCTGCTATCGCGAGTAATGCATGTTATAGTCAAAGTTTGTTCTAACATGCATTAGTAAATATTGCTAGGTTGTTAGCATGTTGAATTGGGCCTTACTTGTAAGTCCAATTTTTTAAGTTAGCTTGTACCCTAAGTTAGCTTGTAATGGGTAATTGTTAAAAAAAACCATTAGGTTAGTGTGCTAATTTTCTTATAAATAGCATGCTAGTCTCTCATCTTGGTATAAGGAAAAATAGGAAGATAAACTCCTAATTTCAAGAGAGAGAGGTTATTTTTTTATTCTTGTATACTTGTAATCTTGTTCTAAGATTAAAGAAAGAATAGCAGTTTATAACCAATCCTTGTTGTTCCTTGTTGTTTTACCTTGTTATATTTGTTAACCCTAACCCTTGTGTGTTTCTTGATCATAAAAAAACTGTTTATATTTTGTTTCAAAACATCCGATTCACAACAAATTGGTGCGTTGAGCATGGAAAAGATGCCTTTAACAAAGTATGAGATTGAAAAGTTCACCAGAGTGAACGACTTCGGTCTGTGGCGCTTGAAGATGAAAGCCCTACTGGTTCAACAAGGTTGTTTGGAAGCTTTGAAGGGAGAGGCAGCCATGGACGATGCGTTAACGGCAAAAGAAAAGACGGACATGATTGAGAAATCCCACAACACAATATTATTGAGCCTTGGTGATAAGATTCTTCGACAAGTATCAAAAGAGACTACATCATCGAGATTATGGGTGAAACTTGAAAGTTTGTACATGACCAAATCTCTGGTGAATCGACTCTACCTGAAGCAAGCTTTGTATTCATTCAAGATGAGTGAAGACAAAGTGTTGGATGAGCAGTTGGATATGTTCAATAAGTTGATTCTTGATCTTGAAAATATTGATGTAAAGATCGATGATGAAGATCAAGCACTATTGTTGTTGTGTGCTTTGCCCATAACACATGCTCACTTCAAAGAAACTTTCTTGTATGGAAGGGAGTCCCTAACCTTTGAAGAAGTTCAATCAACCTTGTATTCTAAGGACTTGAACGAATGAAAGGAACATAAACCTTCAACGGTGGGCGATGGTTTGGCCGTTAAGGGAAAATTCTTGCGAAAGGAAGGTAAGTTCGACAAGAAGAAAGGTAAAAGTAAACAGAAGTTTTATAGTGTAGAAACATCTAGTATTCGATGTTACCACTGTAAGAAGGAGGGTCACACAAGAAAGGTGTGCTCTGAACGCCTGAAAGATCATGGAGGTAATGACAATGCAGCCATTGTTCAAGATGACTTTGACTCATCTGATGTTCTTGTGGTTTCAAGTGGCGACTCGAGAAAAGAGTGGATTATAGATTCAGGTTGCACTTGGCACATGACTCCAAACATAGAATTATTCGAGGAGCTATATGATCAAGATGGTGGATCAGTGCTGCTGGGAAACAACAAATCTTGCAAAATTGCAGGTATTGGATCTGTGAGATTCAAGCTCCATGATGAGTCAATAAGGTTATTGACTGAAGTCAGGTATGTACCAGACTTGAAAAGAAATTTGATTTCTCTTGGTGAATTCGAAAAAAACGGGATATGTTTTTCCAGGAGAGAAAAGTATCCTAAGAGTTATGAAGAGGTCGAAGGAAGTCTTGAGAGGCGTGAAGAAATAAGGCTTGT